ATAAATAAAGTGGGTCTTCCACACCTGGAATGATGTTGACACAATTTAGCAGGAGGTTCCCACTCAAGATGACATTTAATCAATTAACCACACGTGGTGATGGCCAGTGTCTTCAAGAAGATTATACCTCACTTTTCTTGCTCAGTAAGTACTCTGTAATAGCGGGTAAGCCAGGGGAATTGGGGCTAGCCTTTTTGATCTCTACTCTTCCAGGCTGATTATCTTCTAGTTAGGTCTTATTTTCAGGGAAACATGATAGGATATGTCCACAGAAATGAGTCCAGCACAACACTGTTGAAGAAGAGAATGTTAAAAAAGCAGAGATGCCAATATTTTAGAAGTTTTTTCAAAGTCACTGAAATAATCCATATATTATATACTTTGGAATTAACCTAACCAAGGAAGTGAAAGACCTCTACAACAAAAACTATGGTATTCTTAAAAAGAATATGAAAGAGGACACCAGAAAATGTAACCCTATCCTGTTCTTGGTTAGGCAGAGTCAATGTAATAAAAGCAGTCATACTTCTAAAACTGATATACAGATTTTTAAAAATTCCACTCAAAATATAAATAGCTTTCCTCACTGAAACAGAGAAAACAATGCTAGAATTCATATGGAATCAAAAGAGACTTAGAATGGCAACAGAATTCCTGGGCAACAAGAATAAAGAAGGAGTCCTCATAGTCCTGAATATGAAGTTATATTACAAAGCTATAGTGATAAAAACAACATGGTACTGGCACCCCCCAAAAATGTATAGATCAGTGGAACAGAATACAGCATGCAGAAACAGTCTCAGGTACATGATGGTACTTGATCTTTGACAAAGTGGCCAAAAATACATACTGAAGAAAAGGTAGCCTCTTTAATATGTGGTGTTGGGAAAACAGGCTATCCATATGCAGAAGATTGAATCTAGACTCATGTCTCTCACCATATACTAAACAAAATCAAATGGATCAAAGATAATAAATGCTAAAACCAAAACTCTTTATCTGCTGGAAGATAAAATAGGTAAACCTGAAGTCATAGACCTAGGCAAGAATTATCTACACAGAACTCCAATTGCACAAGAAACAGTACCAAGAGTGTCGAAGACTATAGAAGAATCAAAGCCTAATTGGCCTCCACTGTGAGCACAAAACAGAGAGGGTGCACTCAGGGATGATTGCATATTAGGGAAAACTTAAGACAGCTGAGGTTGTTTACCAGAGAATGTATTAATAGACAGTGGAAAACAGATGAATGTTGTGTTATTTTGACTGATTGTGCCATGTTTGATTGGATAAAAGTGAAGTGAGCCAAAGGCTTGGACTCCTCTGTCTCCAGAGCATGAGTCCCTGGTTGCCTGAGGATAGGCTGACTCAGTTTGTCTTTGTCATTCATCCTTGTCCCCACCCCTATCAGAGAGAACAAAGTAGAGCATCTGGGTCCTGGAGCAAGGTCGGAGGTGGGGTTGGCAACAAGTGGCACCCCAGCGTGGGGCCTTGGACTGAGGCTTGTCTACACAAGTCAACAAATGGAATCATACAGAATTAACAGTATTATACTACGAAGGAAACATCCAACAGAGTGAGGAGAGAACCCAAAAAATGGAAAAAAATGTTTGCCAGGTATGCTTCACACAGAGGGCTCTTATGTAGTATATGTTAAAAACAAAAACAAACACCCAGAAAAATCAGACCCCCAAATTAAATATCCAATCAAAATAGGCAATAAAATGAATGGACACTTCTCAGAAAAAGTTAATGGGCAATAAATACCTGAAGAAATGTTCAACATCAATGGCCATCATGGAAATTCAAATCAAAACAACAGCAAGATTTCATCTTACCTGAGAAAGGATGACAGTTATCAAGAAAGCAAATAACAATGCTGATGAAACTGCCATGAGTCCAGGATGGGAATGGGCTAAGCAAGCTTTCTAACATTGTAGGTGGGGATATAAACTAGTACAGCCAGTATGGAAAGCAGTATGGAGAGTTCTCAAAAAACTAAAACTAGAAATTCCATTCAATCCAGCTATTTCCTTTGTAGGTATCTTCCCAAATGTGTTAAAAACAAGATATTACAGGGATGAATGCACACCCATGTTTATAGAAGTAAAATTCATAATAGCTAAAGTGTAGAAGTGTACTATCTGTTCATCAATAGATAGTGGATAAAGAAAATGTGGTATTTACACACAGTAGAGTATTATTGTACTATCAACGAGGATAAACAAGTAGTATTTTAGGAAAATGGATGCCTCTTGAGACCACAATGTTAGGTGAAATAAATCAGACACACACAATTTCTCTTTTATGAGAAACTAAAAATACAAGTAAAGAGCAAAATAAAAGATAATAGGAAGTAGGGAGACAGATCTTTCTCAAATGAGAACAAGATCAATAGAGAGGAAAAGAGAAGGAAAATTACTAATTTTTGTTTTGTACACATACCATCTCCCTATAAGAGATGTCATAGTTATGTACAGCAGTATGTACTAAGAAAAAATAAAAACTGGGAAGTAATATTGTAGGAGTACTGTTTTGAGAGATTGGCTTCAAACCAATAGTTAAAATTATCAGTAAGTAATTGAGATGGGCCGATGAGTTGCTAGATCATTGCAGGAAAAGATGGATAAGTGATGGAATGAATGTCATTATGAGATTCAACATGGGATTCTCAGAGGAAAGACTGTGAAAATGAAAAAGGAAGAAGCAAGTGAGGCAAAATGAAAAAAAAACAAACAAACTTCCAGTCTTAGTGCAGTAAAGAAGGGTAAGGCAGCTTACATTTATCACAGCTGCAAAACAGGCAGTTCATGCAGGGTATACAGTCTGGTTAAGTCAGAGCAAGAAGAGGAAGCCAAAAATCTGGAGCAAGGGTAAAGATAAAGTGAATTTTACATATTAGAAAGGAGAGACAAAACTGAAAGTACCCAGATCCATTATTAATGACCAGGAATTCACTACCTTTTGGTGTGACTAGCACAGATAATTACCAAAGTAAGCTTAGCCGTAGTGATGGAAGCCCTGAAGAGGGAGATATAGAATATAGAGATTCTTTCCAGGAGCATGTAGCTTTCTGGAGCTCCTCTCCACCCTGGCTAAGTGAGGCATGGTGGGCAGTCAGTGGCAGGGTTTCTATGACCCTGAAGGTCAGCACCTTAGACATGCCAGTGGTACCCACTTGAGAACTCCAGAACAGAGCACTGTGCAGAAAAACTGCTGAGCACATGATCAGAAGTCTTATTTTTACCCATTTAAAATGCGTTAACTGTGTATTATAATACACAAGTGTCATACAATAAATATAATTATGTATTGAATATATAATGTGCCAGGTACTATGTAAGGCAGTTTAAATAAGCCATGTACTTCCTTCCCTTACATATTGAGGTCTAACTTTATAAATGTGGATGCTGAAGTTCCATAGGGTTAAATCACCAAGTTCATACTGCTATCAGATAGCAGAGATTAATTGGCATCAAAGCTAACAAGACTTCAAAAGCTGGTATTTCATCAGAACTGTGATAGCTGTATCTGAAGTAAATGTTAATAGACTTTAAAGCAAATTTTGCAATTCAGTTTATCCGCAAATATTAGCATAACACTGGTCTTCAATACCTGTTGCAATGTCTTTTCTTGGACCACTCTTAATTTTCCACAAGTCACACAGAAAGAGCAGTTTAATTATTTAAACAGAAAGCAATATGAGGGATATGCTCTTTGATTTTGAAAACTTAGAATTTATAATCACTACTAACAACTTGAGGGATTATAAAAGCTCTCAGTCAGTTTATACTGTTTTAGCTTTTTGCTGTAAACTTATGTATCTAAAACAAGTAGATGTGCCCTAGATGGAATGAATACTTGCAGAGATACCTAGCATGAGACACCCACATAGTCTTCCCACACTGAATGAAAGCCCATAAAATTGGTGGAAAATGTTTTGTGTTTCTACTATGAAGTTCTCAAAATCATGTGATACATAAAAATTATTGAGGTGCTTATTATAAAGTGTGTCTACTGAATCAGAATCTTCAGAGTGTGTGGTTAGTTCACTATTTTGATAAAGATGTCCCCGGGACATTCTGATTCTGAAAAGATCATTTTGCCCCAATTTTCCTAGCTCCATGTGTATAATTCCCAGCCCTCTGCAATTCTTAATCTATCTTTTACTCCAAAGCATTTGATTCTTCAATAATCCATACACTTTCAAGAACTAACAATGAGTAGAACTCATCTAAATACAGAAAATGAATATACACTTGTCACAACTGTGCTGTATTTGTCCTGCATCAGTGCGAAAGTACATACACACACACACCCAGACATTGATCATTATACTTGCAAAACAAAGTTCCATGTAAGAAGTATACTAAATAGTTTAAAATGTTTTAATTATTGGACTAAACTTAGTTTCTATTTAAAAATAGAACAACTTGAAACTAGGCCAAAACTCTTACATTTCTAAAACTTATTTGCTATGTGACTAAAGGAAATTCTAGTTGTTCTTCCTTCAGGTTTGATAAAAGAAAGCTATTGTGCAAAGTGTGTGCAGTCATTTAGGAGACCTAGCTTGTAACTGATGTGCACTTATTAGTCCATGTGGGATATGCAGTATCTTCCACATTATACTGAAACCCTAGCCAGTTACCAAGAAGAAAGTGTCTGTTTTGTCTTCTCTTTGAAATGTTAATATACCTATGGGCAAAATTTAAATATTTCCTTGAATTCCTTTTCTATTTGTAAGAATTTTAAATACTTTGGAAAATACATTATCATTTTATATCTAAAGAAAAATCACCAACTTAATTGAATAAACAGATGCAAATCATCCTTGGAAATAAAGCTTTCAAAGATAGCATTTACATAAAAATGTATAAACTCTGAGTAATTTTATTATAATCTTTTGCCTACTTGAGTATGTTCTGAATCAGAAATAAGTCAATTTTGCTTGTCTAGAACTTTGACCTAACTAGATGGTTAATCATCGTTGATCCCATTTTTTTAAAAAAGCAACTATTTAACAAGGGACTTTCATAAGGATAAAGGTTAAACTTATTGAGGTTGCTGTAGGATTCTTAGTTCAGGTAAGAATCTTTTAGATTCTCTAATTTCAACATTTCTTCTATATAAGAATTTCTCAGGCTGTCAAGAAAATATGTTTAGTGGTCATGATCCATATTACAAATTTTATGCTTTGTGTCTTTACACCTATTTTCTAAGCCTTCAGGATATATTAAGTATTTGTTCTGCAGACAGACGTGCCTTGGGTTTATTTAATGTAAAATAAGAAATAATATTGATATACTATAAAAATAAAGCTTTAAATCATTTTTCTGTTGTTTTCTAGACTAGTCTTAGAAAGTATACCTGTAGTTACCTTCTTGAAATGTACTACTAGACAGTTATTTTCACCAGCTTCATGCATAGAATTATTAGAGTAGGCTCCATATTTCTTTTGTTTCATCTTGACTTGATGGTGGAGGGTGGAAGTTAGTTGGTAAATGTAAAAAATTAGAATGTGTCCCAAAGTACCTCTACTTTCCTTTTTTCACCCCAAGTTTGACTGAGTTTAAGGGGAAAGAGAACTATTTTTCGGAAAAATTTTACTCCAATTAAGTGAAAACAAATCAGATCAATACAGCTCCATAGGCCAAGGCTAACAATGGGTCACTTAGGAGCACTGCTTTTCTGTGACCCCTGAAATAGTGAAAGCTGGACCCATGAAGTAGAGGTTGCTGAGATTCTGAATCCCCCATACTTCCCAGGGACAGATTGGTCTCTTTTCTTCAGGGAAGAATTGCCAGGGTACATCCCAATACCTAGGGCCTTGTTTTGCATGCTGTGTACCAAATATGCATTTCTGTGTGTCATTTGAACTCTAAAAATATGTTCAGAGAAAACTAGATTAAATACCTCCAAATTATACTTAAAATGCAATGGCAAAGTAGAAAGTGTTGTATGTAGTCAACCTATACTGATATTATTACATTTAAAAATGAGGCAAAAGCAATATAAAAGTTTAATTTTTGTATTTAAATTTTTTGTTCATGTAACCTAATTCTATATTATCTACTTGTCATTTCAAATTTCTCTCCACAAGTTTATCTGCCTAAATTATAAACTCCTTAAAGCTAGAATTTGTGTGGTTTTTCTTTTCCTGTTTTGTGCCCAGCATTTATTCAGTCCAATAGCAGAAATACAGTAAACTCAATATATGTTAGTGATTGACTGATTGGTTCATGTTGACCTTATGGGTTTTATTATTTTTAAATTACATATTATTACAATGAAATAAATTATCCTTCTTAACCCTGTGTAGGTGGTCATTTCAAATCAACCATCAGCAACAATTGAACATATCTGTGGTTTAAACATGGACCAATTTGAACATGTGAATGAAACAACAAATACAGATTCTTCAGGGAAAAGGAAAACTAGATGCTGTGATGCATTTAAGGTGGGATGAGTGTCATGGATCCAAACTAAAACAAGGGAAGTGGAAATTTTTATATCTAGAAAGGGCAACCAATTGTTTAAAAAAACATGATTTTTCAAATTAGAATTTTTTAATTGAAACATTCATTGAGCTATTAACAAAATGATCTATATATTTATTTAAATCTTTAAATATGATTGATATCTCTCTTTGATGATATTTTTGATGTCCAACTTTTCATTACTATGGAAATATTAGAAATGTTTTAATATCTTCACTTTGCTTCTTGACCAAGAGATACATCTGAATAAGAGGAGATTTAACTTAAAATGTAATGTTTAACTTAAAAATACTTTTAGGTAAACCAGTAAGCTTAGAAGGTTAATATCTTGTCAATCTTGACCTGTTTATTAATTTTCTAGAGAGGAACATTTTTTATTCTGAAAATTTAAGCAATATATATAGAAAGTACATACTGGTAATTAAAATACAATTATCAAAAGATCTGGCCTAGAGACTTAATCAATGACTTATCATCTCTTTAATTTTTCATCTGCAAATTGGCAAAACTAATTTGCACTTTCCTTTTGTCATAAAACTTATGTGATATTGGCACTTTCGTAAATTGGAAAGTACTTGGTGAGCACCGAGCAGAAGAAACCAAGACTTAGGAAAGAAGAAAAATTCGCCTGAAGTACTCTACCTTGTAATTTGAAAACCCTTAAACCCAGGATGCACTCTTTCAACCCTAAAGAGAAAATCTCAAAGAAATCGAAAAAATGAATAAGAGCCGTTTTTTAGTAATATTTCAGGTTTTTCACTCATTTGAAATTGGAGTTTTGCCCAGCTGAATAAAGACCACAGAAATGATAACTGCAGTTATGTTATGTATAAATTTCCTTTTAAATTTGTCCAGGGATCTCAAAATCTGTTTTCAGAGATTCCTGATAAGGTCTGTTCTGAAGAAACATTTGAATAATTTTAAGCTGAATGACAGTCACAGTAAAAGACATTGGTTCATTGAACTGAATTCTATCCTATTTTCTAAGGTTATATACTGAATGTTACAGTGATTTCACATTAAAGTGTATAGAAATATTACAACAAATTTGCTGAAGCAAGTATGATTTTCATAGATACCTCTGATAGCATATTTGGAGTAAAAGGCTGGGAACTGGGAATTAACAGTGTCTGTGAAACACTTTACCTGCAGCCCAATAAAGAAGAGAAGAGAATCAATAATAATAGCAGCTGGGACTTATTAAGTACTTACAATTATGCCATGCATCGCTCTGATGTTACATTTCTGTCAGTAGATTTATTCTCTATAACTCTGTCAACCAGATTTCATTGTTTCCTTTTGATGGATGAAAAAAACAGGTTTGAACAGTGTAAATGATTTCCCACAGGGTTCAAAGCTCCTAGGTAGTGAGTCAGGTCTGAGCTGAGAAAGTCTGATCCCAAATCTCATGCTTTCAACTCTATTCTGTGCTACTAAAGTAGCTATGGATTTTTAGAACGCTAGCATCTTTAACATTATGATAAATAAGAACTTGTAAAATAACTATTTAGTGATCTTATTCACTGCGTACTTTTAGAAGTTCAACTTCAGATGAAATTATTCAGTGTGAAGCAACTGTGGGATTCTTACCGTTGTTTTGCAGGTGCACATACAAATCCACACGTTACTGACTTTTGTGTACAGACTCAGCAGTTAGAGGAATACAAAAGGGAAAAGGAAGAGTGAACCTATTTGAATGACATGCTTTGATTCTTTCTGGCACCTTTCTCTCAATTTTAATATTTAACCAGTTGGGATCCAGTGAACCTTCCGCATGTAGTTCACTTGTAACACTGTCATCGCTCCTCTTAAGATTGCTTGTACCTCTCTATTGTTATACAAATTCTTTGACAGAACAAAAGTAATGTGCTATCAACCCAAAACATACACAATAAGACAAAAGCAAATATTCTCCCTTTCTGCTGATGGCCCCACTCCTTTTCTGCATAAACAACCCAAAGATAAACCCTTCTAGTTTTCCTTCTAGCTGGCTTTCCTGCAGTCACATTGCCCTTTTTCTGGACTTTCAACATGTGAAGTTCACATGCATCTATGAGAACTTTGTATTTGCCATTTGTTTTCTGAAGTGTTCTTGTATAAATCATGTGCCTTGGTCTCGTTCAGATTTCTATAAACATTTTGTCTGCTCTGACTAACCCATGTAAATAGACCCGTCTATTACTCTTTAACTCACTTTTTTTCGTATCATCTATCACTGTGTGACAATGACGCCCAGACACACATGTCTGTAGTTATGTGTGTGTGTGTATGTGTGTGTATGTAGATATGAGTGTTTAATGTCTTATAACAAAATAAATAACCTTTCACTTCAGCAAAATAGTACCAGGAAGCTAGACTCAGGGTGGTGGTAAGACTAGGCTCCATCGTGGAAGTTCTTGGGAAAACCTTCTTTCCTTCCTCCAGATTCTAGAGGCTGCCCCAGTTGGCTCATTGATTCCTTTTTAAAATTTATTTTTAATTTTTTTAGGTACCAGGATCAAACTCAGGACATTGAGCTTGCAAGGCAGGCATCCAGCCACTGAGCTAACTGCCTGGTCTTCACTGGCTCCTTTTACATTCAAATATAGTGATGTTGGTTAAGTCCTTCTCACACTGACTCGTCCACATTTTAAGAACCCTTGTTATTACTTTGGTTTCACCAGAATAAGACAGGTTCATCTCTCTATTTGATGGTCCCTGGTTAACAACCTTATGGTTCTGTAATATGATTTGAATATATCTATACACATTCCTTTGAATAGTATATTAATTGTCTTAGACATATAAACAATTATTTTGGTGTTTATAGAATTTTAACTCAGTATTATGATGTAAAATAATCCATATTATTTCATATAGTGGTAATTTGGGTATTTTGAGTGTTATATAAAACTTCCATGACATTAATATACCTTGATTTGTTTCTTTACTATCACCACATTTTAAAATTATCCTCAGGGGTTTTCTATTATAAATAATGTTGGTATAAATATTCCCAGTCATGTTTCTTGATAATACTTAGAAGAGGTAGAACATGGAATTTGTTAATGTTCAGCTTTACAAGATGATGTTAAATTATTTTATTAAAGGAACTGTACTAATTGAATACCAACTGGCAATCCATAAGTGAACAGTTGGTATGCATTCTCTGTCACACTCGGTATCATCAGAATCCTTATGTTTTGAAATTTATATGAGAACAAAACAGTATCTAATTTTGGTCTTGGTTTGCATTCTTTGACAACTACTGAGATTAACATTGCTTTACATGTTATTAGCCCTACATTCTCTTTTGTAAAATCCCATTCATATATTTTATGTATTTCTATGTCGGATCATTTACCTATCACTACTTTTCTTGAGTTATTTATATAAACATAATATTTGAGTGTTAATTTATTATTATATTTTATTATACTTTAGAAGATTGTAGCCTTTAACTAATTTTTAATTTTCCTAGTGAAGTTTTTGAAGATCAGGTATTCTTAACTTGATACATTTGAGCTCATCAAGTGATTTTATAACTGGGAACTTTTCAGTTTTATTTGTTTTTTTGTTTGTTTTCTCATTGAATTTATTGGTACATTCTAGGTATACAGTACAGTTACATTCATCATTGGGATCTTGTACTTTTACATGACAGGTCTTGGTTCTCATTTTTTCTCCTTGTCCCTGCCCTCGCGTCACCCTCTCCTCCCCTCCCCATTTACAAACATTTTATTTCCATTTTTTCATTTTCTCCTATTTTTTTCTTTCCCTTATTACCTTTCTCCTACCCTTCCCACTTTCCCTATTGTCAGTTTTATTTGTGAATTACCTTGTTATTCTAATATGAGTAAGCTTCATGTCTGCAGTAAAACCTTACCCTACCTAACACTAAATTTTATGTAAGATGCATAGTAGAAAATTTATTTCTACTCTTTCTCATATATGTAACTATTATCCCCAGCTCTGTTTATTGGTTGGTTTCTCTTTCCCATTTTCCTATGACCCTTCCATGCTATTTAAAGTACTGTATACATATGAGTCATCTCTGGGTCTGTTTTGGATTTATTTATTAATTTATCCCTATATTAGGACTAGAAACTGTCTGGAGCTTCATATTATGTGTTACAATTTTTAGACTAGGTGATATATTTTTACTCTTACTCAGACATGACTGCAATATTTTTGGTCATTAAAAAAAATTTTGTACAGGATTATTTAAAAAAAAACCTGTTAAGTTTTATGAAATACCTCCTAGAGATTTTTGACTGAAATATTTGTAGATTGCTTTAGGGCTGTTACAAAGCTTTTAAATATTAAGCCCACTGTCCATGAATATGATATAATTCTTTATTTCATCTCTCAAATAAGTTTTAAAATTTTCCTTATAAAGATCTTACACATATTTTGTTAGATTTAGTTCCAAATAGTAGGCAATTTTTTAGTATTTAAATGATTTCTTCCTGTTTAATTAAGTTGTCCGATGTTCATTAGTAGTGTTAGAAATGCCATTAAAATATACATACTATATCTAGTTTCAACAAAATATAATAATTATAAGCATTAGAAAGTGTTAATAGAAAGATAATTTTAAAATTATATGAATATCTTTTATTTGTTAACCTTTCAAAGGAACTATGGAAAACTTACCAGACATAACTGACTAGTCATATAAACTATTTTCAGATAAAATGATCCTATATACAAAGATCTCAAATAATCAATCTACTAGACCTAATAAGTGAACTGAGCAATATTGCACAAAATCACATCAGTAGCATTACTACACACCACCAATGAACATTCAAACAAGTAACTGGAAGATCTAAATGATCTTCTGAATGACAGTTCTAAAAAAAGAAATATCTAGGAATAAGTTTAAATGAGACGAAATATGTACACTTAAAACCACAAAATATTGCTGAAAACATATCTAAATAAATGAAATGATGAGCAGTGTTTATGTGTCAGACAT